CTGAGAACTCTCTGGAATACACTTAAAGGCACTCGTTCATCAGTTCTGGAGCAGATGGCTTGATGTACTTCACGATAGTATGAAGGGACAGATCCTACATTCAAAAGACCATAAAAGCTTAGTGCTGACATAACAAAGGAATTGACTTGGAATGGGTGACTGACTGGGAACATTTCAATTTTGTTACAAGTGAACACACTGAAATAATCTTTTTTTTTCAAACAAGCCGATTGCTCCAACACTGACATAATATTGTAGTTGCACAATGCATTTGTATTTTTTATTGAAGAGTTCAGTGAGATCTTGTTAGACACAAACAATGTAAGTCTAATACAAATGGAAACACAAGAGACCTTAAAGGGGTCATATGATGCGATTTCAAGTTTTCCTTTCTCTTTGGAGTGTTACAAGCTGATTGTGCATAGATAAGATCCCTGAAGTTGCAAAGACTAAAGTCTCAAAACCAAAGAGATATTCTTTATCAAATTTAAGACTCTGCCACGCCCCATTAAATACAAATATGCCATCGCAACCATATAGTAAATTAAATTAATTTAATAGAAACACAGCCGAAATATACTTTATTCAAAATACATTTCCAGAGCTGTTCGGAAATTAATTGGCTTTTGAATTTCCATTCGAATCCAAAAATTAAATATTCGCAGAGAAAATTATTTGATTGGTTTAAATCAGACTATCAAAATGGCAACATTCAGCCTATAAGGATGGGTGCAATTGACTGCATGCATAATCAATATAACCATTTGGCTCTGCGCAACTCCTTTACAACTCGTTAAAATGGTGTCAAAGATTTTAAATATTTAGCATATGTATAGGATTATGGACATATCAGCTTTAAATTATTAACCATCATTGAGGTGTCAGTCTGGAAAACTTGAATTAACAGGTAATGTAGTCACTAAACAGGCGAAACCAGTGAAACAACAAATAAAAAGAAACATTTACGCAAGAGCGCATAGCTCGCGGTTAGTTAAAGTGACTCGTGTTGTCTCTCTCGATATTTTAAAACACCATCAGAGAAATTTTAGAAGCCAAGAAAAGAAATTCGCAGACAAACGCCAGTGCAAAAGTTACATAAATAAACCGCACGGCAAAACATTATCTGAAACTGTGAGATATTTCACTTAAATGCCTGTAATTTCTATTCCTTACCTTCATTGATGTCCGCCGTCATAGTTTAGATGTCATGTGAGTGCAATGGCACTTCCATGTGATTTCCAGCAGAAAAGAGCAGGAATGTCCCTCTCCTTAAAGTTGTGGTGATGTGGAAACACATGTGACAGTGGGTGGAGCCTCAGGTTCAACAGGCTCTTTGAGGACAAACACATCTTTATATGACATTATAGACTGGTTTTATATGGTTAGAATGTTTTCTAGAATGTAATTCACTCAGAGATGTGATCTGTTACACTGTAAATAGGTTGCTGTAAATTTTACAGTAACTTACTGGCAGCTGGATGCCAGTAATTTATTGTAAAAATGTTTACAGTATTAGTACTGTAATTGCATTTACAGTACAATAATGTATTTACTGTATTTTGTACATTTTTACACTAAACTCACTTGTATAGATTTACCTTTCCAATAAATAAACCAGAAACAAAATAAGCAAACAGACATTGCATTGCCTTATACCTTTTGACACTTGTGTAGTTTATTGCTTATATGATATGTTTTGCCTACTATAGTAACTACTCCAGAGAATAATGATTATGCATGAGGGGAAGAAAAATGTTGCGCCATTGCAATGTGAAGGTCTGTGAAACCTCTGATCACTTTGCACTGTTCCTCTTTTAGTCAAAATAAGTTTCTGTTGAAGTCAAAACAACACATCCTGGACTAAATCCAATTTAAGTTTAGGGAACTGAAAATAATTGCGAAGAAGAGTTTATTAGTTATAAAGTACTGAGATTAAATTGTATGTACTTTTTTTTTTCTCTGACCAAGAAAAGTTTTAAGATATTTGAATGCATCAGTGAATACATGATTTAAAAAAAAAAACATGTTTGATAAAGCTGAGATCACATTAAAAGTTAATTTGTGAATTGATTAGGAGTCATAAGAAACCTTGACCTAAATACTTTTTATTCCTATTCACATTGCATCAGCATTTCCAGTAAGGTGTGAATGCCTCAGCATATTGTTGCCTAATTACCATATTAGCTCTGTGAAGCTTAAATGCCAAAGATCAAAATGACTTGCACATCTTAGCTCATGCAAATGTATTAATGCCAGTGGAATGAAACTGAAAAGACACAATTAGTTAGGCTCAATCAAGAATGTTACTAGTTACCCTGTATGCAATGTTGTTAATTACCAAATCTACTAATCTGGACAGGTACCAGTATGTTTTGGTTATGGCACTGAAATTATGCAATTGTGTAAGTTCTTTCACAAAGCAGGTTGAGCAGCTTAGTGAGACAGTATATTTATCTTGCCAGATTTAATAGATGAAGCCTATATAAAATAGTATATACATATATATATATGTATATTTATTTATATATTTTTTTTTAAAATCTAGAATCACTTTCATTTATGAAAGAGGTGATTTGTGTGTGTGTGTGTGTGTGTGTGTGTGTGTGTGTGTGATATTTATTTATATATTTTTTTTTTAAATCTAGAATCACTTTCATTTATGAAAGAGGTGATTTGTGTGTGTGTGTGTGTGTGTGTGTGTGTATTTCACAGTATATTTGAAGGGCCAAGTATTAATCATTACTTTGATGATGGTGTACATTGCCATTAACCATCTTAAATTAAACCCACTCTGATTACATTTTTGTTTCTCCATCCTGGCATATATCTTTATGTATTTTCATCCTTTGGTGAAATGCATGTTCTATTCAGCATAATAGCAGAAACCATCACACAGTTTTAGGTTTCATTTAGACTTGTTTTGAGAAAGTGTGTTGACTATCTTGCAGGCATGAAGACAGAATTCAGATATTCATTTATAGTGTCATGAATGGGTAACAAACCAGCAAACCCAAACTTGCGCAGGTTTGAATTCCTTAAGCTTCTGGTTAAAGTTCATTTTTGTGGTAGTTTCTCCCTATGACCGCATGGGGGTCAGGTTCAATTTGATAAAAGTACACTATATCAGGTCTTTCTTTCTTTCATTTTCAAAATGCTTTCTGTTGAGCATTTTAAATATTTAGGTATGATTATGGATTCTAACTTAAATGTTAAAAAACATATTAAAAAGGTCTCTAAAAGTACTAGAGCAATTACTAGGCACCAATTACCTGTGGCTGCTGCTAAACTCTTTATGCATTCAATGATTCTTCCTCATTTATCTTATTGTGCTACAAGTTGGTCTCATACAAGTATAACCACGTTAAAACCATTATATACTATTTATAAACAAACTGTGAAAATCTTAGCTAAAAAGCCAAGGAGTTATCATCACTGCAATATTATTAAGAATTATAAATTATTGACGTTTGACAATTTTTTATTATTTGCTGATGTGTGCTTGATGTACAAACTATTTCATGATCTTGCACCACCACCTCTTAAACAATGTGTGACTTTCTGTAAGGATAATATCAGGCAGACTAGGTCATCAGTTAGAGGTGATTGTTCAACTAAATTTAAGAAAACTGTTTTTGGACAATCAGCTTTTTCAGTTAGAGCAGCAGAAAGATGGAATTTAATACCTGTTAATATTAGAGAGTGTACAACATTTAGTATTTTTAAAACTACGCTTAAAGTATGGCTTAAGGAAAATCAAATATGTGATCATTGACTTGGTTTTGTAATTTAATGGAGTATGATGTGATATTGTATTGTATATTGTATGTGTTGTGTGTACTGTATTATGTGTGACTTAATATTGTAATTTTGTAACAACATCCTGCCCAGGGACTGCAGATGCAAATTAGCTTTATAGCTAACTCTGGCACAACACTGTTGTTGTGCGTTGTCCCTGTACAAATAAATTGAATAAAAAAAATAAATAAAAAAACCCCAAAAGCTAGTTGCAGTTTTGTGAAATTTTTTGTCTTGGCTTATCACAGTACGTTATTTATTTTTGAGTCTTAAGGGGCATTTTTCAAAGTATGCATTCATTTCATTGTATCAGCATTATATTTTCCATCTACTTAATTTAATGCAATAAATTGTGTTTTTCGAGTCTCAATTCAATCTTCATAATCAGACATTTAATTCAAAGTGGTTAAAAAGTGCAAGGAACTCCATACTATAGTTTGGGACTTACAATGCGGTATTTAACCAAATTATAATTTTTGTTAATTGCTAGTAAATTTCATAAAGAAACGAGTACATTTTGAAGTAGAAGAACTAAAACAGTTTGTGTGTTTCTTGTAAACATACTCCAATGTTCTTTGTTTTATTTAAATAAAAATAAATAAAAATAAAAGTGTAGTTACAGTGTATTTTTTACTGTGAAAAACCATCACATTGTAATGTAAAATAATCAATACATTTGATTTTTTTATTTATTTTTTATTTAATTTTATAAATGAATTTTATATTTTTATGAACAAAAAATGTAATATTTTCAATCATTTTAAGTCATGGGATTGTGTTACCCCAAAACATTGTGAAACTGTCTACTGTGAAAAATCATCACATTTTACCTATAAAAGTAATACTCATTTAATTAAATGTTTTAAATAATTACATTTTTATACATTACATTTCTATTTTATTAAATAATGCATTTTCCAGTTATCGTTATATCATTCATTTTATATTTTTATCATGTTACCTTTAATAAAACTTAAAGGAATATGTTCAAAAATCAACCAGCATAATAATAAGCAATATCAAACAGCATCATAATAAGCAATATCAAAATATCATCAGCCTCTCTTTCCAAAAAGAACATTTTTAAAAATATTAATGAAAAATACGTATATAAGCCTATAAATTGAAATAGGCCTAGGTGTGTAGTATTGTGTCTGAGCACTAGATGTCAGCATTCTCAACAGTTGTCTCGTACCCTGAAAAGACTCTACTATCTCAACATGAGTTTGTTACGGTGGCATCGGGCTCGCTGCTTGATTGCTCTTCACTCACTCACACTGTGTTAGAGATCATCTCACCGAGTCTTGTCGGCGCGGAGGAGTCGCGTGGCGTCCACTAACCCACACTCGGACATTTCGACTTCTCAAACGCCTTCCCCGGTCATTAGGACTAATAAGGACAAAAGGACGGAGGAGTTCCACCGTGGGAATGACGGAGCCGCAGACAAACGCTTGGCACTAATCTCGGCCAATGACTGACACGTACAGCAAGCAAGGGCGAAACATCTTAAAACTGGCTGGCGTTGAGAGCAGCCTGAGGACTGAGGCTTGGGTCTCGAAAGGATTCAGCACTGAATGCTGCATATCTCAGGGTTTATTGTGTGCATGCGTGTAGTTGTAATGTATCCAAACAATAGGCAGTTTGGAGAGGGGAAGTAGGAGCTTGTAATACACGCTTCCCTTGTGTTTGTCAGCCAGCCGGTAGGCATAGGAAAGCTGAAGTCCTGTTTTATACAGCTGGACACTTCTGAAGCGTTTTAAATTATTAGCTCTTTACCGATCCGCGTTGAATAATTAAACCCCTCGTTTTACTTAACAATTAGCTTAGGGGTTCTCTCCAGGGACTGCAGGCGCTAGTTAGGCGTTTTTAGCTCCATATCACTGGATGAAGGACGACAGATGTGCATTTTCCAGGAAAGAGCCGCTTTATGTGTGACTTTATAGTCTAATGATTTAGTTTAAGCACTGACAGAAGTTTTAAACTTCCTGCTTTAGTTTCTCTGGGCTCGGGGTGTTATTGTTATAAAGATTATGGCAGCCGTTGTGAATTACTCTCCTCCGTGGTGGGTTAACCTTCTCCACAGACTGCCTCACTTTAATCTGCAATTTGAACAAACCAGCAGTGATTTTCGACCGGAGGACTCGTCTTACCAGCAGGTAAGTTCACGCATTACAGTAACAATCCTACTGTTTGATACAGCAACACGTGTAGATGAAATGCTGTTCGGTAATATGAAATGGTTTGTGTTGAAAAGTTGATGATACTGGTTGAAAACCATTCTAAGCAATATCACACAAGAGCGCTGTTTTTCTGAATACAGGCACAGCTGTAGGATGGTAGTAGCAGCCATGCTGATATTCAGTATATAACATGACTAAGGTTTGCTTGAATTAAGTGATTTATTTTATTTAACCTTTGTTTGAGACATATATTGGCCCAGTTAGTTCATGTATTTCTTCTCAGCCGACTAAATCAGATACAAAAGTTGCCAAAGCATCAAGGGTTGCTTGTCAGTTGTCACCTTGCAAAGCTGGACTGGAGTAACGCATATGACTGGAACAAAGCAATATTCCTCGCTCCTTTTGGTCAAAGAGTTCTATAATCATTCCAGATTTTCCTTTTTATTTCCAGAACAGTAGTGAACATTGTGTTCAAGTGATGTTGGAAAGGTTGTATTTATGGGGACATTCTAAAATGCTTAAAGGGGTCATATGATTCGATTTCAATTGTTCCTTTCTCTTTGGAGTGTTACAAGCTCTTGGTGCATAAAGAAGATCTGTAAAGTTGACTAAAGTCTCAAATCCAAAGAGATATTCTTTATAAAACTTAAAAGTAAGCCACACCTACTTAAAATGGCTTGTTCTAACCCGCCCCCAAATGTCTACGTCACTATGTGGGAAGATTTGCATAACGCCGCCCAAATGTTCACGCAAAGAAAGCGTAACTTTTATTCTCGCTGTAGTTTTGTTGTTGCTGCCGCCGCGCCATGTCGTGAAGGCGCTGTGTTTCGTTGTGAAAGAAAAACTACTTTGTTTGGCCTTCCAAAAGAGGACGATATCCGCTTCATCATGCCTAGAGCTGATCTGTGCTGGTCGCTGAGGAAATACATTAACTTCGCGCTGTGGATCGAGCTCAAGCTCACTGGCCGCCGCTCAATCAAGCCGGCCTCCGCTCACTGTAGGCCACTGTGTGTGACGCTGTTTCGTTGTGAAAGTGAAACTACTTTGTTTGGTCTTCCAAAAGAGGACACGACTAGAAATCAGTGGTTAAGTTGTATTTACAACACTGTTCCAGAACACTTCAACCCAAATATTCAGATGC